AGGGGGCTCATGCCAGAGCCCCCCATGCAGCGTGGGACAGTGGGGGGCAGAGGGGAATTGCCCCCCTGCCTGGCAGCAGCCAGTGGCTCAGGGCTTTTTTTTTCTAAAGAGCCAGGAGCTGGGGCTGGGCAGGGGTGGGATAGTGGGCAGGGGATAGGGCCTGTGTGATCTGGAGATTCGGCTGATTCAGCAGCGGCTGAAACTCTGAATCAGATTTGGCTGAATCGATTTGGGACACCAGTTTGAATCACTGAATTGAATCACTGTCCCCTGAATTAGCCAAATCCAAATCCAAATCTGAAGCAAATACTAGCTGCTTTGTACAGACCTAGTGTGCATGTGTCCTGGGCAAGGGGATGCCAAGCATTTGGGGGAAGGAGATGCAAACAAAGCAATAAAATTCTCATTAAATGACAATATCCAGTGAATACTTTTGCAAGTGCAGCAAAAATAGCTGAAATCAATCAAAATGCTATTCAGATTGGTGAATCACAATAAATTGCAATGCTATTTCCATTAGTAAATCACAATAATTTGAAAAGTTATTCATGCAGGCCCAGGCCATGGCCCTGAGACCTGACAGATTTTTTTGATTGGTGAATCACAATAAATTGGAATGCTATTCATGCATGTATGTATATGAGAAAAGGTGGGACCTCCCTCACCTGAACTCTAATAAGCAGGCAGGCCCAGGCCCTGGCCCCAAGACCAAGCAGAAGCAAGTACAAATTCAGATTTTTTGACTGGTCAATCACAATAAATTGAAATGCTATTCCCATTCAGAAATGCATGAGGAATGGGAAGTGGAGAATGAAGAACAATGCAGTGAATATTCCTCCAGCATGGAGAATCTGGAGGACATGGGTGAGCAGGAGGAGGAGGTGACAGTGCTGTTGACTGAAGTACTTTTTGCCTTGAAATGAATACAAGACACGCAGCATTGCCAGATAACAATGATAATATATACATCATTTGCATTTTTGCAAGCTTTACATGAGGACACGGCTACAGGCGCCTCACGAAAAAGAAAATGGAGACATTCGGAGGAGTGGTAAAACCAAGAGGCGTGTGAAGAATTGGAAGCTGACTGGGCTTTGTTGAGAAACCTGAGGAGCAGCATTTGCATGGTCTGGGCCCACGAGAGCAGTTTGAACTGGTGGGAGTGAATCGTGCTGACCACTTGGGATGATCAGCAGTGACTGGAGATGTTCCAAATGACCAGGGAGACATACTACCATATCGTCTCGATGCTGGGGACACAAATTGAGAGGCAGGACACTAACGTGCATTGGGCTATCCCACCAGACAAGAGGGTGGCAATGGCCATCATAAAACTGGCCACCCAGGCCAACCTCCACTACATCATGAACCAATTTGGCATGGTGCCCTGCATAGCTGGGGAGGCAACTCATGAGGTATGCCAACTGCTGTAGGACATTGCTGCAAACAATTTTATTTGTCTGGGGAATCCTCAGAAAGTTATAGATGTCCTCAATACCATGGGGTTCCCTAACTGCCTGGGGGCTTTAGACAGCACACACATCCCAGTGCAGTCCCTTTTGGGGAAGGGGAGGTCTTTCACAAACAGGAAAGGATTTGCCTCCGTGATCCTGCAAGCCATGGTGGACCACCGGGGCTAGTTCATGAACATTTTTACCAGGTGGGCCTGCAGCACACATGACACGCATGTGTTCAGAAACTCTCCCCTGCCTGGCCTTGTGGACACTATGGACCTGGAGTCTGTCTGCAGGGGTGTGTGGGGGAAGGTAGCCAACGGGGGGTGGAGGGGAGGATAAGCAGGGCAGGGGAGTATGTGGACTGGGGTAGGGGGTTGCTGCTTTGAGGCTGGCAGTGGTTTGTGGGGGCAGGGGGCTTATTACACATCGGCTTCTAGCCAGCCCGAATCATCCTCGTCACAGAGTCTAGCAGGGGGAGGCAAATACCAATCTACCCCCAGTAATGTCTTCTTTTGGGGGGGGGTTCTATTTATTTCCCTTCCTGTCTTTATAATTGTCTGTAATTTCTTTATTGAAAAACCAGCTCTTTCATATGGCATCCTCTATGTGCAGATTGCTGTTAGGACAGCACAATGTGACCAGACAGAATGAAAACCATGTGGAAGGTGTGAAGAGCTTTCCTCTAAAACATGACTTTCTTTGCCAGAAAAGTCTGTTCTGGAGAAATCCCCGACACTGGTAGCATAACTATTCTAGTCTAGATAGTCTTTCACCCTCCACGTGATCACTGAGGTTAAAGGAATGAAAGAATTAAAGAAATTACAGACAATTATAAAGACATGAAAGGAAATAAATAGAATCCCCCAAAAGTGCAAATCTCAGACATTCACCTGCTCTCGGTGCTTCCAATGCTGGTGATAGTTCTTCAACATTCTCACTGAAAACAAAAGGAAACAGTCATTTGGATTTAGAAACAAACAAGAGTTAAGGGTCATAGCTTTAGCATTTCAATAGTATTTTTCATCTTTGTTTCTTATTCTCCACACTGTTTTGTGCTGAGCACATTGACAGTACTTTAAAAACAATGAAAAATCACTGATAGCACCTTACAGATTCTTGACCACATGCAGCTGCTCTGAGGCAAGGGCCTTGCCCTGCTGAAATACTACATGGCTGGGAATTTAGAGCCTGGAAGTCTGCCTGTGACTACCACTAATCTGTTGGACAGCCTTGGCTAACGCTCTTCATCTCACAGTCCTCTCTCTGCTTCATGCTGAGCCTAGTCTAACATAGGGACAGCTCTGACCAGAGACCCCAGATGACCCCACTCCACCACAGCTCCCATTCTTGCTGTACTGCCAGAAAAGTTACCTTAATTGTTCACTGTCCATGAATGAAGCCAAAGGGCTCCCCAAATACAGAGAGGATTGAACTTGAATGGTGTCCTCTATGTGCTGCAGCTCCTCTTCTCCCTCCCACTGTTGCTCTGCTACAAGCTTTTCCTTTACCTTCTCCTCTCCCTCTTCATTCTTAGTGTGGTGGGCTGCCAGTAGTGCAAGGAGGTCCACCTTGGGTTGAAGAGCTTTCAGCATGTTTAACACAGGCTTCAGCACCTTCCCAAATGAGGTCTTGCTGAAGGCCTGAAATCAAAGAGAAAGCTTTTGAAGAGGACACCTCCTCAGAATCCTTTCTAAACCAGCTTTTCCTACTGGTCACTAATGAGAGTGAACCAAAGCAAGCTCCTTTTAGACTTGCATTTGGATCTATCCTATGAACTTCAGCTGAGCACCCAGAAAAATCAGGACTGTGCAATGACAAGTTTTGTTAAAGGAACACTGCTTTGTCCATCTGTTGCATTTCAACTTTCTGCTTGAAAGCAGATCAGAAACAAACATTAATGAGCCACTATGTGTGTCAACTATTAAGACCAAATACTAATTCTAGGCCCCAATTCAGGAAGGCATTTAAATGCACTTTTCTAAGCAAGTGCCATTAATTTCAATTGGTCACTAGCTTAGGCTTCAGGTTATGCAGATACTGAGATTGTTTGTCCTAGGCCCAAACATTGCAATTCACTGAAGCCTGTGAGCATGTCTATTGTCAGATTTCTGTACTTAAGTCTTTTCCTGAATCAGGGCTCTAGCAAGGTCACAAATGAAGGGGGTTTTTTGTTTTTGTTTTTTTTGCTTTTAATCAATTCACACATGAACATGTCTGTGTCACAAACTGATCAGTTTCCACTCTGTAAATAGAAACTCTGGTGTTGTGATGAGACCTAACCCTCATGCGAGGCCAGCAGGCTGGAGGGCCTCTAAAGGGCTGCTTGGAAATCTTGGCAAGCTGCCGCAAGGCCGTTACGCCTCTCTTAGATCCCTGCAACCATCTTGCCAAGACCTTCAGAATATGTGCCTAGGCAGAGTTATGGAGCATTGGGGGCTGCCATAAACCTGTGCCCCGCTTTAGACCACTGAGCCAAAATCCAAAGGCCAGAACAAGTCTAGACATTCAATGACACAGAGCTTGTAGCTGCTGCCAGAACAGCCTGAATAGAGCTGCAAACTGCCTATCGCCTCAGCATGGTCGTGTTTTCTGTCAGTGCAAGGTCCCTTAGCCTCTCTTCAACCAAGATGTGCCCACAAGGCAGCAGAGGATGCAGTTTAATGTCATGCCCAGGACGTGCTCATTGCAAACAAGGCCAACAGGCTCCTGGGCTGTATGAACAGCAGGGTCCCATGCATGTCCAGGGCAGGGATTCTCCTGCTCTAGTCAGCCCTGGGGAGGCCTCCCCTGGAGCCCGGGGTCCAGGTCTGGGCCCCATATTTCAAGGATGTGAACAGGCTGAACACATCCCAGCACAGGGCAGCAAACACAATTGAGGGTCTGGGAGGCAGGAGCGAGGACAGATGGAAGAGCTGGGGTGACTGAGTCTGGAGAAGACACAGATGGGCAGATACAAACCTGATGACCTTCACCATAGAGAAATGCAAGGTGCTCCACCTTGGGAGGAAAAACCCACATCATACCTATAGGCTTGGCAGCGCTTCACTCACTAGCATTACGTCTGAAAGAGACTTGGGGGTCACGACTGACCACAAGATGACCATGAGCCACCAATGCAATGCTGCAGCCGGCAAAGCAAATAAAACTCTGGTTTGCATGTATCAATGATCTCAAACAGGACCCAAGATGTCACTCACTTGATTCAGCCTTGGTGAGGCTGCAGCTGGAGTACTGCATCCAACTCTGGGCTCCATGCTTTAAAAGGACATGGAGAAGCTCAAGAGAGTCCAGAGGAGAGCCACGCACATGATAAGAAGTCAAGACAGCAGGCCTTATGAGGAGAGGCTGAGAGGCACAGGACTCTTCAGCTTGGAAAATCACAGGCTCAGGGGGGACTTAATGGCAGCCTATAAGTATATCAGGGGTGTGCATAAGGACCTGGGAGAACATCTGTTCACTAGGGCTCCCCTAGGGAAAACAAGGTCCAGTGGTCACCAACTGCTAGAAGACAGTTTTAGACTGGACATAAGGAAGAACTTCTTTACTGTCCAAGTCTCCAGAGTCTGGAATAGACTCCCCCCACAAGTGGTGCAAGCACCTACTCTGGACACATTCAAGATATGTTTGGATGATTATCCTATAGAGCTGGACCAGATGATCTTGTGAGGTCCCTTCCAGCCCTAATGTCTATGAAATCTATGAAACTACTCAATCCCATGGGCTGCTAAATAAACTGGGTCTGGATTACCTGTCACTATTTTCACATCTGGGTTACCTGCACTCATTGCCTGGTTTACACTCCATGTCTGATATCATTATTTTGGGCACAACTCAGCAGCAGGATCTTGGAACTATTGTTCAAGCCATTCACAGCTCAGAAATTGGGTTTAGCAAAATAATTTCTTGCACACCTTCGGTGCTTTACTTTGAAAGAGGAGAACAAGGCTCCTGAAACCTCCTTATCATTGTGGACACCCACACCACAGCCCCCATATTTGTCAGTCTCTAGTTTTTACCCAAGCCTTTCAGAGGAGGCAAAGCGCTTCATATTGCCACATGTGGTCTTTTCTTCCTAGTGATCAAATGGCCCTTTTAGCTTGAAGAGCAGCTGCCTTTGAACCAGTCCCTGCCATCAGTAAGCAAAGCAAAGCAAAGCAAAGCAAAGCAAAGCAGAGAGCTGTAGCTGTCTTGTCCATATGCTTAACCCAAGGGATCCCAGCCCTTTTCTTATCCCCAGACAGATTTCTTGGAAGAAGAGTAGATTCAAGATTAGTAAATTTACTGACCACTAACCCAGGACCCTTGCTAGCTGGGATTCTGAGTTAGTCCTAGAGCCCACCACCTTCAGAAGAGTATTCAGCATTCGTAGTAGATGAGCTTTCAATGTCACATGAACTTCTTAACAAAAAATCCAGTTAGAAGCAAAATGGCATTCACAAAACAGGATTGCCCTTGTCTTATTCTTTCCCTTTACCTCCTCTGATCTTACAATTGGTTGTCCCATGCTACTCAGAGAGAAATGAGTGTCTTCTTTTCTCTGTGCCTCAGATCTCAAACTTTCACTTTCAAGACACTTCTCAGCCAGCAATGCTCTTGGGTCTCTTAGGCCATCCCCTGTTTGAGCAACAAATGCTTCTTGCAGTTCCTCAAGACGTTCTGTTTTTTTGGACATGACTTGTAAATGAGACACCAAGTCTGGAGCAATGGGTACATGTTTGATTCTAACATGAGGGATTATTTTCACAGGCAGCTCCTCTGTTTCTGTTGGGGTCTTGTTTGCACTTGAACCTGGGATTGCCTCTTCAGTATGCCCTGTCTTAGGCTCTGCCCTAACAGACGCTTGGAAAAGAACTTTGTCAGCAATTCTGTCTGGGTTCAACGCACTTTGGCTCGCTGTTGGTGGACTCACTTACAGCCTGTAAAAGGGGGCAATCGGAGAGTTCCCTGATTATTACAGTAGGCATTTCTTGAGGAAAAAGTGCATTGACACTCGTTATATCATCATAAAGGTCTTGCTCAGATCCAGATTTTTGTAAAAGATTCCTTAAAATAGAAAGAACAACTCAATGAGCTGCTTCTTTGTGTGCTGGATGTAGATGATGTTCTTCATCTGTAGCTACTACAAAGCTGATTTTATGTTTGGATAGGCTTTGCTCCACGTCCTGTTTAAGGTTCTCAGCCATTTCATTCACTTTGGCTTCTTGATAAATGTCTTCTGTATTTTGGGCTTCTGCCATCAGTTGAACTTAAGACTTCTAACAGGAATCTACTTAATATTTCTTCCACAAATGTCACAGGTACCACAGGGACACATGGGTTTAAAGGTGGTTTTGGAATCTTCATCATCATGCCAATATGAGTAGGGAGTTTTTCAACAATCCTAACACTTTCTGTTGTTGAAGATGAAGTAGGCAATGTCTCTTCCTCGGAACTGGTTTGAAATTCAGGTTTTGGCAACTTCTTTTGCTATTGAAGCTGCTATCCTGTGAGCTAAAACATCTTTCCTATTTTTTAGGTCTCTGTAAACAAAAATGTCACAATCAGAATGTTCTGCAGTGCTTGTGCAAGCTGAATGGAACAGGTCTTTCATAGCATGGCTGTCTTCAGTGTGTAAAAAATCTCTTTCACTGATATGTTCCTTCGTGTTCATCTGATGTTTTGACAGGAGTACTTGCAAAGCATATAGTATTTTTCTAGTTGCATCTTTCAGTAACAACATCTTTTCTACATCCAAATCCACAATGGGAAAGAGGGAAGAAAATGTTGACATAAGATTTGCTGCTAGTTTTTTTTATATTTTACTAAGATCTGATGATAAACTGCTTGCATTATCCAAGGGCATTAGTAAAATCTCTTAGTGTATTTTCAACAACATTGTCAGCTTCAGCACAGTGGTGAAGTGGTAATCCTCTAGAAAGAGAGTTCTGCAATGGATTCCCAGAAAACTCTTACAAGACCAAGTTACAAAGAGCTTCAGAAATAACCATGCACCCACATCTTAAACAATTCTGCATGCTGAATTTAGAGTGAAACTGTGTCAAAAGCTTGTTATAGACCAAATCAGCAGTTTGAAACATATTATCTTCCCTGGAATGTGGATGTTCAATATGCTGGCTAGAAGAGTTCTCATTTTTAGAGCTTGTTGCCATAACTTTACTGATTCCCTTCATGTGAGTCAAGTCAAATTCTGCAAGTTCTGTTTTCTTTTCTGTAGAGGAAGATGTGCTGGCAGTGGCAGGGAGAATGTTAGATAAAAGCCTGGTGATTATATCTTCCAAAAATCTGTGGCATACCCCAGAGTAGATGGTGTGGGACTTTAGCTTTGGGCATTGGTTTTGGTAGCATCTACTAAAAGCTTCTCATCAATGTCCCCGGGTTCTAGAGGTTTATACAGAGCTGAAGCAGGTGCTTTTGCTAAGGGTTCTTCCTGTTGGTAATCAGTAATTTCTCTCCCTATTAAAACACCTAAGCTCTCTGCTGACACACTCCTGTTGCTTTTCACGTCTGCATAAACTGAGACTTTGGAACAAAGCACTTTCTTGCAGAAGGTCAGATAAATTGGAGTGAATAATTTTGGCTGTCAATATGTCTATGTCAGGGGAGAGACCCTGATCTTTAGAAGGCTGCTGGTCTGTGGCCTGACATATGAAAAGCTTATTTAGCACTCAGTCAACTACATCTATGCTGACATGTGAAGGATCACTTCCAGGATTGCGCTGTCTTGAGCATGTAGGTTCTGTGAAGGGACCAATTTGCTCATTAGTTCATTACGTATTTCGTTCAAAAAAGCATCAGCATAAATACTAGCCGGTGACTGCAAGGGCTGAGGCTCAGTTGTATATGTTGGCAGGGGCTTGCTGCGAGCTCCCTGCACTGCCTTATGCGGTACTTCCTCTTTGGGAAATATCATTCTGTGTGATGAAAAGACCAACTAAGTCACTGAGTTGGTCTAATAAAAGAGATCACATCTACTCAAACGACCTTGTCTGCCTAAATTGTACTATGGCTTTGCTTCTAGCCTTCATTGCTTTATGAAGCATGCTATTGCTTTTTGCTCTGTCTCTTTCTCTGTCCATCCATCTGATGTTTTTCTTCTAAGAGGCTTTTGAGTTTTTCGTAGTCCGTGTAAACCTTGGCTAAATCTGAGAAACATAAATGGTTGGTTAATATCACTTTTGTTGCGATCAGTTTCTGCTCCACCCCCTCCTTTACTTGGGCTTGTTTTTGCTAATGCTATAGCATTTTTTAACAGATTCCAAGAAATTGCTAATACTATTTGTGAGCTACAGCTTGGAAGTTTGCAAACTGTTTCAGTGGAGCATATTGCTGATGAACTAACACAGGCCATGTCCTGTCTTTTGTAGGGCACAATGAGAGTGGAAGGATGCACCTTTACCTTATGAGCGAGGAAGGGGACCAGGCTCCATATTTCTCTTTTCTAGAAGATGTTCTAAGTCATCTTCTCCACACATTTTATAGTAAGGCCTTGCAGTGGGATGTTAGATATCCAAATGAGTGCTTGGATGCTTGGCAAGGAGCCAAGAATGAGGAAAAATGAAACTGGGACAAGGCCAAGTTGGAGGGGACCCAAAAGCAGAGGTCAGGATTGCTGGGGAGAGAGAATGGGGACAGGACCCTGGGGTCACTAGAGTGCACTCCTGTCCAGATCCTGGGATAGTCCTGAATATCCACAAGCCTCTCCACTCTTGTGCTGTCAGCAAATTTCTGAGAGCCTTACTCATAAAGTGCATCTCCCTTTCCCCCTCTCTCTCTCCCTCTCTCTCTCTATACTGGTGGACAGAGAGATGGACAACCCATTATTGCTGTTACTTCTTGAGTCAACTCAGATGGCAGAACCCAGTCCAGTGTATTTAAAGGTCAAACCCTGCTGACAATCTAGCTGGATTCCAATTTGGTGCCACATGAATTAATTTGTTTTTCCCAGGTGCTGTTTTAAAAACCTGGGAAGTTACATACACACGGATGTTACAGTAGTAGTAAGTTTGTAAAACTGAGGGCCCCAAACAGGGCAAGGCCAGGATGAATGTTGCTTGTGGTTCTTAGTGTTTGGTCCCTGTGTGTGCATAGGCTCTGACACAATAGCCACCACTGCCAGAACAGCTGCCACAGCTGCTACGGCCCAGCCCCTGCTGGTGCCTCCCAAGGTGCAGACTTTGGTTGTGATGCCTCCAGTGTGTGGCTTAGGCTTTACTGGGTGGGCCTAAATGAGACTATGTTGCCATAGCTTGCTAATGGAAAGGTCATGATTGGTCTTATGGTGTGTCCCACCCTCTCCCTTCCCACCCCGAACAAGGTCTCTGGGTCCTAAATCCAGAGCCAACAGTACTGTTGGTGGGCTTGTTTGCTACTGTGCAGCAGCATCAGAAATGACTCGTGTGGCATTAGGACTGTGCAGTAAATGTTGGTTACTTGCTTTAGCAAGTTCTAAATGACTGCACAATAACAACTGTACAGTCTGGTGCACATGTAGATGCACCCACTCACTGTATAGGATTCAAACTCTGCTTCAAAGAGAACATGATACCCTTTCTTTGGGCTTTCCTGGGGAGTTGTGCCAAAGTGGAATTCCTACCCTTTACAGATGGGGAACGTTAGCACAGAGAAATTAGGGTCAGC